AATAAAATGTTTTGTTAATATTTATATGTCTTAGTGTGTGTTTTTTTCAGTTGAGCTCTGTTTGTTTGTTCTGATAATGTTTTATTTCTTAGTATCACTTTCCAGAAGAGTTTTTTGTTTACTCAACTGCAGCTCTGCACAAGACTTTTGGCCAGCGGAAAAATCAAAATGGTCGTGCCGAACTGAGTCTGGTTCTCTCAAGGTTTTTTTTCTTCACTCTCCTATCGGTGAAGTTTTTTTTCCCTCTCCGCTGTCACCTCTGGCTTGCATGGTTCAGGATCTGTAGAGCTACACATCGATGAATTTGCTCTTTAGTGTTTGGACTCTCAGTAATGACTTTAAACCACACTGAACTGAGCTAAACTGAACTGAACTGAACTGAAACACTAAAAACTGAACCACACTGATCCAGTTACTATGAGCATTTATGTGAAGCGTCTTTGACACAATCTACATTGTAAAAGCGCTATACAAATAAAGCTGAATTGATCTGAACTGAACTTCAGACATTTTAGGTCAGCGCAACTGATGTTTTTAAAATCAAATACATGTCGGCACCAATGGTGTAGTGGTTAGTGCGTCGACACATGGCACTCCGGTGTTCATGGTGACCCAAGTTTGATTCCTATCTCCAGGTCTAATGCTGATCTCTCTCTTCTCCTCTCACTTTCCTGTCTATACTCTACTCTACTGTCCTATCAATCAAAATTAAAAATAATAATAATAATAAATGTCGAATACAAGAGAAAAACAGCGAAAGGAAATAAGGATTGTGTTTTGTTTTTGTTCACTCAACTTCAGGCGTTCCAGTTCTGCAGACAAACTAAATTTGGGTGGCACAACTTAAAAAGATTTGTAACAGAGTCGTCCACCTCTCTAGAAAACTAATAATCGTATGTTAACCCAACTCAAAGTTTTTTGTGTCACTGACAAATAATGTTATGTCTGTCAGGGTTTGCCCCTCTGGTCTTGTAAATTCTTGTTATGGTGGCAGAGTCTGGACACTAGCTCTGTCTTGTGCTGTATGTGGTGCTCAGCTTGGGTTTTCTCGGGTCGAGCACTCGTTTTCTGTCATTGTGCGTGTCTCTGTATGGGTGCTGTCGTGAGCGTGCGCACTCCCACTTGCTGTGTGTGCGCGGGGTCTGTGCGCGCTCTTGTACTCGTGTTTGTTCTGTCGGCATTGCGTTGTTTCATTCTCAGTGTCTTCGTCTGGTTGGTTTTGGTTTCCGTTGGCGCTGTGTGAGCGCACGGTTCGGTGTTTTCACCTATCGTGTGCTCGTGTCTTGCGTCTGTTTATGTTTGTGTTGTCTAAGCTCGTGGCTCTGTTTACATTGTGGCCGCGTGCTTCAGTGTGGTGCTTTATTGTGAACACAGGGTTAATGTGTTCTCTCATTGGCTGCATGTTCTAGTCTCGTGTTATGTGAGCACAAGGCTTGTGGTAGATTTCTGCGGCGCGGGAATAAATTTCCGAATAAATCGCGGGAGCGGTCGGTAACGGGTTTAATTTGAGACGGGAGCGGGCTGTCTAGCAATATCGCTCCCGACTCCCGAGCGAGCACGCGTATGTATGTGTGTAAATGAAATTGCACGATATTGTGTTTAGATTGTTTGTTGCTGTGTGTGTGTGTGTATGTATGTGTGCACAAGCGCGAATGAGAGGTGTGTGTGCACGCGCGAATGAGAGAGAGAGAGAGCTTTGCCTGTGTGTGTGCGCTTGGTGCTTGTGTGTGTGTGTGTGTGTGTGTGTGTGTGTGTGTGTGTGTGTGTGTGTTAATGCGCACGCGCGAATGAGAGAGAGAGAGAGCTTTGCCTGTGTGTGTGCGCTTGGTGCTTGTGTGTGTGTGTGTGTGTGTGTGTGTGTGTGTGTGCGGTTGGTGCTTGTGTGTGTGTGTGTTAATGCGCACGCGCAAATGAGAGAGAGAGCTTTGCCTGTGTGTGTGCGCTTGGTGCTTGTGTGTGTGTGAGTGTGTGTGTGTGTGTGTGTGTGTGTGTGTGTGTGTGTGTGTGTGTGTGTGTGTGTGTGTGTGTGTGTGTGTGTGTGTGTTAATGCGCACGTGCGAATGAGAGTGAGAGAGAGCTTTGCCTGTGTGTGTGCTTGGTGGTTATGTGTGTGTGTTAGTGCGCGCGAATGAGAGAGAGAGAGCTTTGTCTGTGTGTGTGTGCTCGGTGCTGTGTGTGTGTGTGTTTATACAGACAGCGGTTTTGTTCTCCCCCCGCTCTTTAGCGGGATCGGGCGCGGCGGGTAGAAAACGCGGTGGGTCGGGCAGCAGGACAACAAATGCTTAATATATGCGGGATCGGTCGGGTTCGGGCTAAAACCTGGCAGGTGCAGGCGGGAGTGGGATTCAAAATTTTGTTCCGCGCAGATCTCTAGCTTGTGGTGTTTGTTTGTGACGTGCGTTCGCGTCTATTGTCTAGTCCCACCCTCCTTGTTACCCCTTGATTAGTTTATCACGTTCACTCGTTTGTGTGTTAGTTATTTCTGCTAATATTCTCCTCATGTCTGCTGTCCTGTGCCAGTTCATCGTTGATTATTTCCCTGTCCTGTTGTGTCCAGCCTTGCTTTGTCCTGCCATTCCCAGACAAGTTTGTTTTTTGCTTTTTATTAACGCTTTCCCGCTCTGGGTAGTTCATTTAGCCTTTTATTTTATTTCATTATTAATAAATACCTATTTTTTGTCTGCAATTGAGTCTTCTCTCCTTTTCTCCACCACAAACCGTGACAATGTCAGTGCAGCTGAGGTTTCTAAAGATTGAGTGAACACGAAAAAGCCGAAGGAAAATAAGGATTATGTTATTTTTTGTTGTACTGGCTTAAAGTTTTTTACAGTGTGTGAGCTGGAACATTATACAAACATTCACACAACGTTTCCACAACATTCATTTGCGTGTTTGTGTTAGTTGTATTGTAATAAAATCAACAAGAGCCGATCAGAGGAATGGAGGAGCAAACATTTGAGGTCTGTATTTATGCTGAGCCTCTCGGTTTGCAGGCAGATCTGAGACATCACTGAGATTATTGGCTTTTTCCTGACAGAAGCGTCTGAGCTTTTTCCTCTCCATTTCATCTCTGTTCATGGATTGCTGGTAGCTGATGGCGTTTCACATGCGTGAACTTGCATGCAAATGAAAAGCAGAAGAAGAAGATTGCCAGCATGCAAATGAAAGCTATAGAAAGTGGCATGAGATCTGAGCGACGGGTGAAGTTGCTGGTTGCTCT